AAATATTTTCTCTGCCTAGATGATGGAGAGAATAAAAATCATTTTTAAATAATAATAATAAATAGTTTCGCCTAGATTTTGAGAAATTATTTATTAATAAGAATCAAAACAAATAATAAGTAATAGTAATAATAATAATATTTTATAAAAAAATACATGAAAATTTTTAATTAATTTTAAAAATCATAAAATTGAACTTGTTTCAAAAGTTCATCTAGATGTTGAAGATTTTTACAGATGTTCGTATCTTTTTTAAAAACCTTAAAACCTTAAACTTTTAAACCCCAAACCCTTAAAACCTTAAAATTTTCAAACCTTTAAAACCCTAAAATCCAAACCCTAAACCTTCAAATTTCAAAACCCTCCAAGCCCTAAAACTTTCCAAACCTTAAACCCTCCAAACCCTCCAAACCCTTGAAACCCTAAAATCCAAAACTCTAAACCTTAAACCTTCAAAACTCGAAATCCTAAAATTTTAAAACCTTAAAACCTAAATCTTAAAATCAACATGCAACCCCAAACCATTACCACATCTTAAAGCCCCAATCTAAACCCATACTCAAAACCATCTCGAAACTTTAAAGATACATGTGAAAATCTCATATGAAATAATTTGTTTTCGAATGCGGCCTAGAAGATAAGGTATTTAGAAAATTTTATTTCACTAAGATAGTTGCACAAATCCTTGGTTTGCAATAACATCAAGATTAAAAGAAAAAATATATAATGAGATCTTAAATATAAATAGTCACACATAAAGTTTGCCTAAATCTTAGAAAATCATGGTGGTCTTATTATATTTAATAACCTAATTTCAAAATTGCATTTCGTCATCATGTATAACATCTATTAATGCATCTTTTTATTATTGTTTGCACTCAATTCTTATGTTTATGCCTTTAATTATCGTTTGTTGTCTGATAATACCATCATTGGCAGTTTTGCATAAAAAAATATGTTTAATTTAAAAATGTGAAATAAAATAAAAATAACATTCCGAGGAGAATAATTCTTGGTACTTTGCCTAGATGTTGGAGAGTCACCAACAATTATCTTTCCCAAAAAATGTTATGTTCATTTTCAAAGAATGTCTTAGTAAATATCAGTAACAAGAGTTATCTTTAAAGTTTTGCTTAGATGTTGGAGAATTTTAAGATAATTCTTTAACTTAAAAATTTTCCCGATATTCATAAATAAAGAATTTTAATAAAAATTAAATTTTTTTCAAATAATAAAGGGAATTATTATTAAATTTTAGATCAAAATCATTTCATCCAACACTAAAAATATTGCATAATTAATTGGTACCAATTTATGGGCGTTGTGGGAGTGTTAATCCTTTCACGCACATAACTAACTTTCGAACCAAACTTGATTTTTCGTAAATCAAAATTTATCTTTTTAATAAATTTTAAATCCGATTTTACAATTTTATTGAAAAAATAAGTTTTTGGATGATCAATCACTCTAAAAAGAATTGGTAACAACTCTTATTTTTTTCAAAATTAAAATCTTAAACATCTAGCAGTCCCAAAACTATTCTGATAGCCACAATCGTCTACCACCCCTGGATGTTTTCCTCCAGCCATGTGTTGTTTGTCATGATTTCTGCTATTCATTCCCTCTCTCTGTCTTTGGCTTCCTTTCTCCCATGTTGATTGTTTATATTTTATTTGTGATGCCTGCATCCAACTTCCATATTGTTTCCCCATCGATTCATTACCAGGGCATGGGTTTTCCTTGCAGTCATCCTCTACATGTTCCAATCTTCCGCAGATGTAGCAAAAATTTGGCAATCTCTCATAACTCAGTCGCCCCTATGTTTGATGCATGCCATCTCTATGCGTGAGCAAAATGGTTCTCCTTGGTGGTTTATTAACGTCCACTTCAACTCTTACTCACAAGAACCATGACCATCCTCCCTTATCCAACGTTAAATCCACCTCTTTGAGAATCCCCATCTTCATCCCAATCCTTTGGCCTACTCCCTTATAGACTCACAAGACTACTCCCTATCACAGAAACTCCAAAGAGACTTCTCTTATTTTATCCATTCACTTGACTTGTTTGATACAATTAAAAAGCCATATCAACTGACTTGTTTATGTAATTATATATAACTGCATTAAAAAAATGACTTGTTTAGATTTACTAGTAAAGTTTAGGTTTTTTTAATTATATTTTTATTTAAGAAATACATGTTTCGTGAAATTTATGGTTCTTCGTGAATCCATGTAAATTATAAACAAGTCATATCCACGCTCCAATGATTAAAGAGTATGATTACCTCAATAATTTTGTTTCTCAATAACTCTTACGAATTAATATCAACGAAGCATGATTGATTTGTTCAATGAATTTTCTTCATATGGTTTTGAATCTTTTTTATATATGTTGAATTTAATATCTAATATTATAAATTTATATAGCCTTATTTACACTTACACATTTCCATCAGCGTGCAATTACATATAGCCAATGATATTTGGTACTAAATCAAGTTTTAGTAAAATACCCATAAATGTCAAAGAAGAAATAAAATAAAATAAAATTGTACTATATATTGTCGACACATGCAGACATGTTCCCTCCAAGGATGCGTTGCCCGTTCCAGGCAGAATCTTGAGAGCCGAGAGGCGCAACTTGTTTATTTCTTTACGATGATCATCTCCCCATTTCTCCTCACCTTCTCACTCCCACGTTCGCTTCATTTTCTTACTGCTTTCTAGGAATCCAGTCGCTTGCAGTTAAGAAATTAAACAAAAGAAAATCCAACAACATCCATATATAGCTACATATATTTCTTCCACAAGAATTGCAGAATCAGACAAATGGCCTCACAATGCAGATCTAATGAATGGGATTCCGTTAATTTGTTATCCATGTGTCCGGGGGCATCTTGATCTGATCTACTTCTCTCTGTCGGTTTTGAAGGGGGCAATTTTATCGGAGTTTTTATAATAATAATAATAATAATAATAATAATAATAATTATTATTATTATTATTATTATTCTTATAGTCAGCTAATTTTAGTGCCTTATTCTTTGAATATTTAGAAGGGATGGAGGCTGTTTTTCATTGCTTTTTAAGAAAAATTTGCTCTTAATATTTCATTATTAGTTTTCAAAATCTTGTTTTTGTCTTTATTTTTGAAGGTCATGTAAAGGGTAGATGCACCTCTACTTTGTAATATGCTCCATAGGACATGACATATGCATGCAAGAAAAGCTATGGCATGCTTTTCTGCGAATAATGCAGTCTTCTGCCTCTTATCGTTGATATACCAAGAATCATTCTCAACTAGCCAGATGGAACAAAATTGGTTTTAATAACTGCAAATTGAAGGTGTACTTTCATTTTATTTTTTTGTGAGGATAAAAAAAGTATTATGATATAATTATCTTGGAGGGCGAGCTGTTACTTATAATTAACTTTTATCATGAGAATTGCAACAAATTCTTTGAAGAGGGGGATAGAGGAGAAAAGATCAAATTTTCTACAAAAAATAAAATAAAATAAAATAATGAATCTTATTATGTATTTAAAAGAATTGAGAGCGAGTTGAGTGATAATTAAATTATAAGCTAATAGACTTAATTTCATTTTATTTTTTTGTACAATAAAGAAAAAGCATCATGAATAATTGAAGCAAATTGAAGCAACTTAAAGCGAGAATACATGCTTGGAAACCTTCTACGATAGCCTTTATTAAAATTAATGTGGATAGCTCTGCATTACCTAATTCAGAAGAGTTGGTCATAGGAGGTATTGTGAGAGATTTAATTTAATAGATTCTGGTTATTTGGCCTCTTTAGGAAACTTGGATAAGGTTCAATTCTTCAAGCTCAATTGTATGCTATTCGGATGGAATTGATGTTAGCTTGGAATTGAGATTTTCGAAGATTGATTATTGAATCAGATTCCTTGTTGGCAATGAAGATTACTGGACTTGTGCGCGAGAAAGATTTTTTATACCATGTTATTAATCAGTGTAGAGATTGGGACTGCAGAATTTAACAACTCCAAAATTGTTTGTTTTATCTCTAAGATACCAACATAACTTAATGCTTTGCCGTAGTGTTTAATTTCTAATTTCATTTGAAAATTTCTGCTGTCCCTTCAATGAAGGACACAACAGCTAGCTAATTCACGTTTAAACATTTTCAGAATAGCGACCTAACATTAATTGTTTATTCTGGTTTTCGAATTTAATAAATACTACATAAAGTTTCTCAGAGAAAAAAAAAAACTTTTGATAATTATTGAGATGCTTCCAGGAAGCTGACATATATAAGATCTTTTGGTCAAGCAGCAATTTGTTACACAGAATATAGTTCTCTTTATCTAATTTTTATTTTCTTTTTCTAACTGATTTAGAATTAAAACCTATAGCAATTTTAATTGGTAGGGAAAGTGGAAAGTGATATAGTGCATTTAGATACTTTATATATGTATAAAATCATAAAATAATTTTTAAGGTTAGTAGTATCAAAATATTCATGTTCACAGATAAATCCACGCGTTTGTGCAGATTCATTATGGCAACCCAATTCACGTGATTCCTTAAGCTTGGATTACATTGAAGATCCACCCAATGAGCTACCTCTGTTTTATTTTTTTTTCCCTTGATATATGTTAGGTTTGGTGATGCCTAGATGTGTCTTTTATTTTTATTTTTTTCTTTTTGTTATTAATTTGTTCTTTGTTTTCACTTTATTTTTCAGTTTTTTGCTTTTCACTTTGTGCTTAAAAAAGCAAAAAGCAAATAGTAAATACATCAAATGAAGGAAGCTTCAGCTTTTAGTTTTATTTCCCCTTGTGAGCAGAAAAGAAAAAGACAGGAGAGAACAATTGTGTTGAAATTTGTACTTTTGAGAAAATAGAAGGGGAAATTGTTTGTTAATTACAGGAAGATTTGAGCCTGTCCCAGTTGGATTTTTTTTTTCTTTTTGATTTTTAAACATAGCCAGTTGGATTTACATGGCAGTCTTCAATGATATCATCATCCATAGATTCCTCCTATATATAAAGCCCTTTGATCTCTATTGACCAAGACATCCATCATTTGAGCAAAGGCTTGTATAATCCTTTAGCTACTTTCATCCAAAATCTGCATCAAAACAAGAAAAGAGATGGCTTTCTGGTCTGCTGAAAATGCCACAAAAGCATACCTCAAAACCCTGAAAATGGTTAGTTTCCTTGATATATATTTAAAGCATATATACACACCCACGAAATTTCTCCTTGCAGTACTTGTCTAGAGTTCCCATCTCTCTATCAATCTTATTTGACTTAATTGGTTTTCATGTAATCTTTCTGCAGGGCCAAAAAGCTAAAGAACCAAATGTAGCCGAGTTCGTGTCAGCCCTTGCAGCCGGCAACAATGCACAACTAATGGCTGTGGCATGTGCTGCTGCGGCCAACTCTACCGCTTTAGCCCTGGTGGCCGCTTCTCATCAAACTGGAGGCCATGTAGTTTGCATCCTTTCCGGAATTGAAGAACTTCAACTATCCAAGAAAATCCTAGGCTATGATGCATGCCTCGTTGAGTTTGTTGTTGGTGGAGCCCAAAAGCTTCTGTTAAGCCACTATAAGGAAGCAGATTTTGTGCTTATTGACTGCAACCTGGAGAATCATGAAGGAATTCTTAGAGCAGTGCAGGCAGGTAGGCAACGCAATGGAGCCCTTGTTGTGGGCTATAATGCATTTTCCAAAGGTTCGTGGCGGTCCAGTGGATCGAAAACTCAATTGTTGCCTATAGGAGAAGGGCTGCTAGTCACTAGAATCGCTCCAAAAGCTTTCGAAAAGAGAAGTCACTGGGTTGTAAAGGTGGATAAATGCACTGGAGAAGAGCATGTGTTCAAGGTCAGGTTTCCACAATGGAAAGGAATCAGAGTTTAGATTTTACTGTGCTTCCTTTGGTTACTTAGGAAAAATCAAGATTTTCGATTTTTTTTCCCTGCTTTCCTGCGAACCAAATGGGATAAAAGATCTTTAGTATAGGTCAAAATTAGTTTATTGGAGAGTTTTAAATTTGTAAATTAATAGCGATTAATATACAGTAAATTATTGTCTCAAAGATGAAGGATTAATTCCACTGTGCTTTGATTCTGATGAAGGCAATGAGCTTTTTCACATGTATGAAAGACAAGCAGATTAATTTGTAAAGGTATCCGGCTGTTCTTTGTCCCATTGTATGAAATTTCCTTCCACATGATCCCAGAAATTTACATGCCTAATAAAAAGGATTACCCTCTATTACTTAATCTTCATAGCGGATATTAATATTTGATTATGAGGAGATCAATTAATGTTATATTTTAATTTATTTTTTGTAAGACTTTTTCTATTATATTTATTAATATAAATATATGTATAAAAGTATATTAATAAAAAATTGAGTTAATAATTATGAAAGAAAATACTATTATACCAAACATTTAAGAATAAAATAACTTTTAAATTAATTGTAAAATTACTAATTACGTAATTTTTTAACAAATATAAAATCTTTCTTGATTCTTTTGACATTTTATATCTAAAATTAAAAAAAAAATTCACAAATCAATATTTCTTACAAGGTTAAATAGATCGTTAAAAAAAATTTATAAACAAGAAAATTAAATACGCTTTTTAAAAAATGAAGTTGAAAATTTTGTAATTGAAAATTAATTGTGTTTTTATAACTTTTTAAAATAGTTTTAACACAATTTTTGTGTTGAAAATATTATTGGACAACAAAAGATAGAGATTTAGAGTAATTAAAAATGAAATATAATATGAATAGAAAAATTATAATTAACTAAAAAGAAAAAGAAAAATGTCAACAATTGTACAGTATCGAACTTTAGTTGATAGAGTATCAAACTTTTTAATTTAAGTGAATAAGATTTAATTTTTGACAAAATAAAAAAAAAACATATTTAATAGTTGGTTGGATTTTGTATTGTTAAGAAAATTAGAAAATTAAAATTGTGATTTAAAATTTATAATAAAACTCTTAATTTTGAAGATTTGTAAATAATGATTAATAAGTACAATAAAAAGATGTAATTTTAACTTTCTTAAAATGGAAAGCGTAAAACTAAATTAAAAAAGTATAGAAAAAATAATATTAACAGTGTTAATTTGAAGGACCATTTAAATTTGTTTAACATAAATTTGTTAATTTTAGTTGTCCTGAAAGAATGAGGGGGTTTCCTTAATTAAGACCAGTCATCCACTATTTTGGGCTCAATCTTTCACCCAACAAAAAATGGGCCCATTTCTAATTACATTTGCAGAAAGTCTAGACTCTGGACTCTGGAGTCCACAGACCTGACTCCTGAACCAGCTCTAAAGATTTGACGAATTTTGCTCCTTAGACTTGCGGAGCCGGAGCATCTCTTTGGTCGGATGGTCAAACTCATTGCAGACGTGCAGCCGAGAAGGCCTCAAAGCTTGATAAAATTGTTTTATACAGAAGCACATAATTAACAGGGAGGACAAGAGAAAACTACTAATTAACTTTGGTGAGCAATTGTTCAAACTTCAAATTCAAAAAGAGTTGGAAATTTTTAGGAAATTTTACCAGAATGGGGTTAGATAGTCATTTATCAGGCTTCAAAGTTCAAATTGTTAGATTGTAACTCAAACCATTTGTACCTTACCACACTCGTTATTTTTTGTCCCGACATCTTTTCTCTCTTACATTTTGTTCCAAGATGGATAAAAGTACCGCACTTGATTATTTCCGCTGGGTTCTTTGGGACCCCACGTTGCCTGAAGAACTATAGAAAACTAGGAATCCAGGAATCAAGGACGAAAATACAGTGATTGGTCGCCATTGAGAAGCCTGCTTCATGACATTCCCCATATATAAGGACAGATGAACTTTTGTTTGTTTGATGGTAGTATTATTTTGCCCTGCCCCTCTAGGACGACATAGGTTTTAAGTGCCAAGGACTTAATCGGCCATAACTGCAATAGATAATGGATCGCTGGAGCCTAAAGCATGTCACAATGAAACAGATAATGAATCAGTACACCATCGAAGTTTTCCTCACCGGACGTCTTTGATAAAACAGTTCAATGGGCACAGATGTGCTCAATGAGCATGATAATTTTTCATGATTCAAGGACAAGTCTTCCCGGTCCCCAGTCTTCCTCTGACTTCAGCCAAACAATCCCCTGGCTAACGATTTTGGCATTTGCTTAAAATTTCAAAGCCTGCTCTCAGGACAATCCGAGGGCATTTATGATTCGCAGCCATAATTAAGGCACAACATTGTTAACAAGGGTGTTGCAGGATCAAAACAACCACAAGAGAGAATAAAAGCCTAGACAAATCTTGGAGATGAAGATAAATTAGTGTTTCAAAGTTACAACCGTTCTGCTTATGAAAGAAATCCACCAATTTACAAATTTTCCAAAGACTCAGGTTGATTTCACATGAAAAATCCCGTTAGTAGGGTATAATAATGCAAAACATTCACGAGGCTTACTCCTTAGCAAGAGGACACAAATTCTACATGCTCCCTTCATCCCCAATGAGTGGTTAGTGACACTTCATCTCAAGCTTGCCGTCATCAACTGAAAGTTTGGTCCAGAAGGATTTAACTGAAGCAACTAGATACAGCTACTGCAGTTACCCAGTTCTTGAACTACTGCTTCCATGGATGGTCTTTCTATAGGAGAGTCGTGAGTGCAAAGCCAAGCAATTCTTGCAAGTTTAGCTGCTTCATATTGAAAGAACCTACCATGGAGGTTTGGGTCAATAAAATCTTGGAATCTGCAAGATTCAGCTCCAAGTCGTACCAAGCTAGTGACTTTTCGCTTCCCAGAAAGGACTTGGAAAACAAGAACTCCAAATGCATAAACATCACTCTTATCAGTAAAACGGCCTGTACTAGTGTATTCAGGAGCAAGGTAACCCTTAGCAGCACTAGCCTTTAGTGCAGCAAAGACAATGTCATTGGTAAGTAGGTTGTGCAAGCCTGAATCTGAAAGCAGTGGATTGAATCGCTGATCAATGAGCACTTTTTCAGCTGAAATATTTTGGTGTACGAGAGCAGGTTTGTTTACTTGGTACCCATGCAAATATGCTAAACCTGCTCCAGAAAATGAAGATAGCTCAGTAGAGGTGAGTCAAGAACCAAATTCTAAATCTTGTGTTGGTATTTTAGCACAAGGGAAATATACAAAAAAAATGTATGGCCAAGAATCTTAAGTTGGTTTATCATAAACATAAAGCATTTGACACCGCTTCAATATCAAATTAGAAGTTATACAGCTGCTAGAAGTTTCTAGGGACCTTATTGGGAAACATTGAGACATAATTAAACAAAACTATTTAGAAACCAGTACAGCAATAGATAAAAGGAAAAACTAAACGAACCTTTGGTTATGCCTTTAACAATGGAAACTCTTGTGGACCATTCCAGGACCTGGCCATCACCATCTTTCACATCAAGATAGCGCAGCAAATTTCCATTGGGGACATAATCATAAATGAGAAAGCACTCTCCCCGGGCCTTTGAACAGCAAAATCCTCTCAATCGCACTAAATTTTCATGCTTAAATGAAGCCAAAATATTCAATCCCTTCAAGAACTCTGCATCATCAGATTTGCAACTAGTTTTACTGATGCTTTTAATGGCAACAGCAGATCCATCTCTCAGAATCCCTCTATAGGTTGCAGAAAAGTTACTCTTCCCCAATAAATTTACCTCTGAAAAGTACTGAGTAGCTGTCTCCACCTCTTCTAAATTGAACCTAAAGTTCTGAAAGACATCTTGGGCAAAGCCACTGAAATTCCTGCCATTAGCCAAAGGATCCCAACCATTAGCATACTCAAGACTAATAAGTGGAGAGCCATTCTTCCTGTAAAACCCCTTGGGTTGATCACTGCTAAGGCGGCTATCAGAAATTTCAAATGAGCCACCAAGCTTCTGTTTCCGGCGACGATATTGTATAAATGTGAGGATTCCTATAGCTGATAATGCAACTGTGACAACAATTAAGCCAACAAGAATAGGACCCCTTTGAAATTTTGATGGCTTTGAGCACTGAGTTTGCTCACAAGGTAACCGCAGATTTGCTGTCTCTGGTATTTCTCTAGGAAGGCCAGTTGCCCTTGGCCCATATGCCTCAGGTCTGCTTGGATTAATATGATCAGAAGCATTGCAAGCTTTCAGTGATGAAAACCCAGACCCACATAGACCCATATTATTTTGAAACAGGAATCCATCGTTCAGTCTCTTAAGGGCTAGAGCAAACAAAGAAAAAAAATTCATATGAAGTTCATATTTTTTCATAAGATCAAGCTGAATATAATATTAAAAAAAATGATTACCGAGAGGAACATTGCCAGAAAGAGAATTGTTCCGGATGTCTAAAACTTCAAGCAGAGGTGAATCAGATAGTTTCGTGGGGATTGAACCAAAGAGTCGATTGAAGCTCAAATCAAGCCTCATTAACGTACCCAAATCCCCTAAACTTGCAGGAATTGCACCAGTAAGTTGATTGGACTGCAGGGCAAGAACATTAAGCTTCTTCAAAGATCCCAGCTGCGTGGGTATGCTTCCTGTGAGCTGGTTATAACAGAGCTGCAATACTACAGAATATATGCAAAATAATGAAAAAGAAAAACGCAGTTAAGTGAAATCAGATTTAAAAGAACAAATACACAAAATGAATCATGAGTCAGAAGTTTAATCTTTTTCAGTTCCTTTAGGCTCTAAATCCAACCTTGGGAACTAAACAATTTTTTGCTGCAGGGACAAAAGGAAATGTTAATAAGAGGCACGCTTGAGTAAATTTTAAGCTTTACATTTTTACTTCGTTTCCCTAAATGAGAAAATATGACATTAATTTTGCGGCATTGCCAGTTTGTCTGACTGTCTGTCAATAAATTTTCTCAGAATCCCAACATAGCAAGATTTGAAATTATTTCAGTTCAACAAACAAATCATTGGCCAAAACAAAGAAAACACATGTTAAATGCAGGAGATATGAAGCTGCATTAGAGCAAAGAAATACACACCCCAAGATAAAAAAGAAAAAGCAAGAGCTACTTCTAACGCTGAAAAATCCGTGCTAAATAAAACAGAAAATTTCAAAATTAATAAACAGTTACAATAGCACTAACCCTGCAAGCTAATCATGCCACCAATCTCTGGAGGAATCTCACCAGAGAGATTATTCATATTCAAATATAAATCACTGAGAAGAGTTAAGTTAGTTATTTCTCTCGGTATCTCCCCGTACAGAGAGTTGTAATGTAAGTAAAGCCCCGTCAAGTGCTTAAGCCCACCAATAGCTGGTGAGAGTTTGCCAGAAAGCCCCTTCCCTTGCAAAGAAATGTTGGCTATTTGTCCTTTCTCGTTACAGCCTATACCTTCAAAAGAACCATCACAAGGATCACCATTGACGGTCCACGAAGAGAGAAACTTGTCATATGGGTCTAAAGTAGCTTTGATATCCATGAGCGCCCTCAGCTGAGTATTTGCACTGAAACAGCATTGGGTGGTGAAGAGAAAAAAGAAAAAGAAGACAGGTACAATGAAATCCATTATTTTGGTTCAGAGTTTCAGCTCAACAATGGTATAGAAGAAAATGGGTTGTTTTGCTCTTTAGAAAAACAAAAACGTGTTTCTCAGTTCTCAAATGAATTCACAGTCTCTCTCGGTCAAAGGAAGAGACAAAGAAGCAGAGACGACCATGCTTTTCTTCAGTGGAAAAAGGTGTATGTTCCACTACACTATTATAGCTTGGGGGTAATGCTCAAAAAGAGTGGTTACCACCCAGAAAAAGGACGAGGAAAGAGTGTGGGCCGTTGGATTTATTGACCTTTTAAAAATGTATTGAAGAATAATAGAGGCTTAGTTGCATGGTCGTAGTGTTTCTAGTTCAGGTTACGAAGAGGACAGTTTGTTTGACCTCTCTGTCGATCTCCACATTCCTTCTGATAGTGAGATTTGTCTAGAGAGACAATAATTATTTAGATTCATTTATTAGTTGGTAAAATCGTAGATTTTGAAGAAAAATATGATTTTTTAAAAAATATGATATTTAGCATTTTTTTTATTTTTAGAGTATCTTATTTTAGATTTATTTATTTGATTAAAAAATTTTATGTATATTAATTTTTAAATAATTATTATAATCTCTTTGATATATATATAATGATAATTTTTTATTAATTTTTATTAATAATAAATACTTAAATTATAAATGATGACTTTAACAGTAAAAAAATAAATATTTTTATGATTACTATTTTTATTTATAAAATATCATCAATAAAAAAATATTAGAGATTATTTAAAGTATTTTTTGTTAATAAACATCTTAAATAATTCTCTTTAATATTTAAAAAAAAATTATTTAAGGTATTTCTCAACCAAAAATATCTTAAATAATCTTTAATATCTAAACAAAAAAGACATTATTGAGGACTTTTCTAGATCAAAAATGCTTTAAATAATTTTTTCATTTTTTAAAGGATATTATTCAAGATAGTTCTAAACAAATACACCTTAAATAATGTGTTTAAAAAATATGAAGCATTATTTAAGGTATTTTTAGATAAAATGCTTTAAATAATACTTTCTAAAAAAATTATGGTATTATTTAAGGTATTTTTTAGTCTAAAAATATTTTAAATAATCCTATTTAAAAAAAATAAAGGGATTATTTGAGATTTTTTTTGACAAAAAATACTTTAAATAATACCTTTTAAAAAAATTTATGATTTATTTACGATATTTTTTATCCAAAAATACTTTAAACAATGTTGATATATTTGTTAAAAGGTATTATTAAAAGTATTTTTTGACCCAAAACGCTTTAAATAATTTTTTTTTTAAAATAAAAGAGATTATTTAAAACATTTTTATCTAAAAATGTCTTAAATAGTTCATTTTTTAAAAAAATAAGGGGATTATTTAAAGTATTTATATGCAAAAATGCCTTAAATACTCTATTTGTAAAAATATAAAAGAATTATTTAAGTTGTTTTTTTGTACAAAAATATCTTAAATAATTTTTTTTATAAAAACATTAACCCAAATCTTAAAATATAAAAAGATTATTTAAGACGTTTTCTCTACATAAATACCTTAAATAATCTATTTATAAAATATTAAAAAATTTATTTAAGATATTTTTTGTTCAAAAACTCTTTAAATAATCTATTTATAAAAACAAAAATTTATTATTTAAGGTATTTTTTCAATAAAAAAAAATTTTTTATATAAAAATATATAACTGAGTTTCAGTCACTTCTAGACATATTTTTTAAAAAGATAACGATTATTTTATAATTTTTTATTTAGATCAAATTTAAAAATAAAATAACTTTTTCTTCTAAGATTCTATAATACCATAAAGAAAAGTAGATTTTTTATTTTAAAACTTTAGGTATTATTGAAATATATTACTTTTCTCTGTAATAGATTACTTTAAATTAAATATGAGAATCAAATATCTACTATCAAAATTTAAAAAAAAAAAATTGTAAATTTCTCTTTACCAAAAACCACTTAAAAACAAATATTATACTATCCATTGGAATTTTATCTATATCAAAGAATTCACACCACACAAGTGAAGCATTTATTTTATACACTAATATACACTGTTATTTTATTTTTCTAGAATTCCATGAATTTCATGGTGTCTCAATTTTCTCCAAAAATCACTTATCTCAGTGCATTTAAAACTTAATTTTTAAAATATTTTTGCAAAGATTAAATTTTGATTAAAAAAATAGATATATTCTCTTAATTTTTTAAAGTAAAATTTTAATTTCCTAGCAATCACCGCTGAAACCTATGGTTATGGCTATGCTATGGCTATCAGTTTAAACTTTAAATTAAGGAAATAAATAATTAGCAATAAACAAAGTTCAAATTTGAAAGGGATATTGAACCCAACATGTTTAGCTCTTTGTGTCTGGACCTGAGCCTATCTTTAGGTGGGAAAAGACACTGCAATAGTAGTGGTAGTAATTTGTTAAAGAATCTGAGGGCCCAGTACACGAAAAAATGAGCCCCATCAAACTTTAAACAGAGAGCCAATAAGCAACTACGTATGTTACGTGGTGGTCTGTTACGGTACTTACGAGGTGCAGGCGTGTAGCCGTTCTGTACACGGATGATTGGAGATTCTTCCCCCGCTTCATAGAGAAGTTCGAATTTGAAAAGCGACGATCTTATGCGAAACCTTCTACTGTAAGACTTTGGACCTCCCATAGAAAAACGATTTTGAACCATTGGTTTCCAAGAAAACTTGATCAAGTTGCATGGTGGGTGAACCGGAGGTGATAAAAAGATTCAAAATAAGAAAAAATAGTTCATTAAAGGAGGTTGGCTTCTCAATTCTGATTGGCAAATGCCAAATGGTGGAAACTTTAATGGTCTCCTTTTCGGACCTCTCTGATTGTGGTTGTATCAGAAAGGTCAGAATCTGACATGACTGCCTGCACTCCACCTCTCCTTGCCCTTTGCCTTTTTTTTTTCCAATGAAATGAATATTTGCATTAATATCTCTAAATGATATAAAGAGATGGCCATACTACTTCAAGAAGACTCGTTGAGACGTAAGGTGAGATTGATTTTAATAAAATTAAAAAATTAATAATAATGAGATTAATTATTATAATAATAAAATTAAATAATATAATAATAAAATTAAAATAATGATAAAAATATATGTTTGAATTTAATTATAATAATTATGATTAAATTAAGTATAATAATTAATTTTTTTTTTAATTTTATTCAACTGCTCAAAAATTCAATGAGCCAATTAACTCTTTCTCCTCCAATGAAAAAAATGAAGAAAGTGTAATTAGGAATCCTCATTTGCACTGATAAAATGCTATTCAAATTCCATCTTGGATCCTATCTCATCCCACCCTAACGTACAGGAGCCCATCTCTACAAAGAATGTGCAAAAGAGAATATGGAGTTTCCGTACCGTCTCCGCAGGGCACATCCCCTCCTTGACTGCCTCGCAGCCCGATTCGCCAAGCCCTTCGCATGTCTCGACTGAGCTTCCTATATTTACTGACATATAAACCTTATATCAGATACTGTTGAACTGATCACCCATTGCCTGTGCTCCATTTTGGTGCCCATTTCATCTACCATTATTTTAGAATCAGTTTCTATAACAATCTTTGTACAAAGATGCTCTTAAAATTTAATTCGATGCATTCAAAATTTTATTTTAAAATATTTTTAATAAGGATAATTTGTGTAAAACTAAAATATTAATTTTTTGTGCAATTAAAGTAAAATGTTGATTAAAAAAAGATTTTAATTTCAATTTTAATATATTATTCCATGTTGTAAAATTAAATTACTACATGTTATATCACAATTTAATTTCAATTTCAATATATTAAAAACATTATTGCCAATAAAAATTGATACAAATAGTTAAAATTTAAAATTTAAATATAAAAGACTTAATTTGAACTCGAATGATTTTTTATTAATAAATAATTTTTAAATTAAAAAAATCTCAAAAAATTTATAAATTTTTTTATAGATCGGTGGTTTCCTTATCTTAAAAATAAGATAACATCTCATATTCTTAAATTTTAAAAAAATATATTATTTTAATACATGTTTAAAGAATTTATCTTTTTCTCTTTTTTGTCCTTGTTAATTTATGACTAACACCAAAATCAATGATGACCGTAAGGGATGGAGACATTTTGTGGACTGCTCCAACGAGCATTTACATCACAAAGGTCAGGTAAAACTATATTGGAATCTATTAAAAAAAAGAGAGAGAGAGAGAGAGAGAGAGGCACTTCATCATTCATCCGGCAAGTTGTGAAAATCACATTTATCATCACTCCTGCATCCGTAATCACTCAGTATTTCAGTACCTATTTCTGTTACGTACATTAACTTTATTACTACTACTACTACTACGTGTGACTTGAGAGTTGGTTTTTGTATCCCTCTAATTTCAATCAAAGTTGGTCAGGGACACTCAAATGTGTTGGTCACCAACTAAACATCAAAGATTAACAAAATCTTCCTTTTCTGCTGTTCTTTTAAAGAGATATCTTCCTTTTATTATGTTGAAAGTTTAATAAAAAAAATCATGATTATTCATCAACCAGCCGAGATAATTAATTAAAAACACTGAGGTACATTAATTTCTCATGGTAATTATGGTAATTGAAAAAAGCCCGCAAGCAGGTACAACATAATTTTGAAGAAAATTCTATGTAAAGCATGCTTCCTAAAATCAATTAATATTAAATACGAAAGAAGCATAACTTTAATACAAAATGAGAAAATTTTAATATTTAATAGGTGTACGATAAAATCATTTTAACAAGCTTTTGTCATGTATAGATGGAGGTAAAAGCTTATTATGTGATAAATTTGTCTAAGTAATAAACAAAAAATAACATTGATGTCATTGTTCGGTGATCTTGAGTCCTCTCAACCTCAAAAGCTAGTTCAAAAAACAAGACTTTCACTCATGCTTATAAAGTGATCACTAGTCCCATAATCAACATGGATAATCTCAACAATTTCCCTCTTCATACATTGGATCGAAGTGAAAACTTTTATGCTCAACTCACGAGAAAATGTTGACAATTTAGTTCTGATATTATATGAATCATTCAATCTAAAGTCAATTAACAATAAAGAAAAAAATAATAATTTAAATATATAAAGACACTTAATTTTATCCTGGACAATTTGATCGTGTTCGATTTTGATTTTGGTTCGAACGTATTAATTTTGAACGATTCTAATGTTTTAATTTGATTGGGTCATTTTGATTTCGTATTAAATATTTTCGCTCATTTTGCATTGGCTAAAGTCCAGTCCAATTCACTTTTGAATCATTT